GTTAGCAGTACTACCCACAATCCCTTTGAAGCCTTTGGAATCAGATATGCTCCAGATTTCAGAATTTTTCAGCTTCAGACACATGACATGGTGCATATACTCTGTATGACGTAACACCCCACTGGGCTCTGAAAGTACCTTGTAATCAAATATATTATTATTTTGGCAACTGCACTTTTGAACGTTCACACTAAGTGAAATAAACTAAGACCATAAATGGTCTCCTGTGTACTCAAGTGAAATTTTGTTACCAAACAATTTTTAAAAATTCTATTACAATTTTCAGACCCTTGAAGGCTTGGGATTGCAGATAAAGACCGTCCTACCCTGTGTCTCCTTAGATGATGACACACAGCTCAGAGAGATCAAAAATGTTTATGTATTTGAGGCCAGACCACACCCAGCTGTGAGACTGGGGGTAAGACCAGTCTTCTGACAAGGCTAGGGGTGACAGTGGGGAGAGTCATCCTGGAGCGGCTGCGCTGTTACCCAAGTGTCTGGGCCATTGGTTCAAACTCCACATCCTGAGCCTCAGCCGCCCCTGGCCCTTAAGCTGTTTCCAGGTGACTTCATCTACCTCCAGATCTGGATCTTTCTCTGGTGGGTCCTCAGTGAAGACCACTGGCAACCAGGGAGAGTGACCATCAAGACCACCATAACCACCATGTTCTCTTCCTCCGTCCTGAGCTCTGGGACCATCCTGAGCCTTGTCCTCCGTCTGCTGCAGCTGCTCTCCACCTGCGTGTCCTTCTCACTGGTGGCCAGTAAGGACACTTTGAGAGGGGGCTAAAACAACTGGTGCATGTTCATCTGGTGCTTCTGCTTTGCTGTGACCCTCATCATTCTTACAGTTGAGTTATTTGGGCTCCAGTTCCACCTCCCCTTCTCCTAGGATGGCTTTCTCTACATCTGTGCCTCCTACTTCACTTTTTTCTGCCTCTCAGCCTCCATCATCATCGGCATCACCTACATCCAGTACTTGCCTCACGGCTCCATGTGGGACCACGCCATTGCCGCCACTGCATTCTCCTGCTTGGCTTCTGTGCTTTATGCCACCGAAGTGGCCTAGGTCTGTGTCTGGCCTGGAGATATATACTGCTTTGTGTCCACCTTGCCAGGCATCCTCAGGAGGCTGGAGTGCTTCATGGCCTATGTCATCTTGCTTTCATCAGTAACACTGACCTGTATCAGGACCAGCCAGCCCTGGTGTGGTGCGTGGCTGTCTACTCTCTCTGCTTCATCCTGGGGGCCGTGAACTTCCTGGTGAACAATTGTGATTGTGACAATGACCAAAGGCTGCCCATCCCCTTCCCCCGTTTCCTGGTGGAGCAGACGTGCTCTTGGTCCTCCTCTACACCAGCGCTGTGGTCCTCTGGCCTCTCTACTAGTTCCATGAGGAGTTGGGTGGACAGCCCCAGTGGTCCAGCGATGTGAGCTGCAGGGATAGACTCACCTCCTTGGCGTGCATGTGGAACCAGCAACTGGCTGTGACCATCTTGAGAGCCATCAACCTGCTGCTTTACATGGCTGACACGGCATACTTGGCCCTGGTTTTTGTAGGGTGAGGCTCTGTGCAAGAGTCCCGATTCCTCTTCGAACCAGAGGTATCTTTACCGAGTTCTGATGTCCCCTGCTGGCCTCTTCCTGTCTGCTCTCTCCCTTCTCATATCCTTCTCCATTCATCTCGCTTTTCTGTTTCCTTCCCTCCTTCTGCTCTGTCTCCCTTCCTGTTTTCTTTGGTTGCCCACATTCTGGGCCTCCAGAGGGGCCTCACTGCCAGAGCATGCCTTCTGGCCCTGACCCTGCCTCGGTTGGGGGTGTGTGTTGGGGGTGGGGGAGAGGC